GGCTCCGAAGTGGTCCCAACGGGAAGGTTCAGCAGTTCTTCACATATGTGCGAGTACTGGTTTGAGATTGGTATCAAAGTCGCGTAGGAAGTCAATGGGTTCAGTCTAAAATCTGCACTTTATTTAAATAATGCACCCATTAAAATGACGCTTTGTATACCTTCATTCCCAAAGTGCACAACACCTTTGCTATACCCCACTTTTAGACGTAGTAAACACATCATGTAAAGTGTAAACGCGAGTTATTTCTTCCCGTTGGGGTTAGGAATTGGCTCCGGGAAGGCTTCAAGTAAATATGGTAGGCCCCCAGCTTGAGGATAAGGCTTTGCCCCCTTTTGTAACCTGTGTATGGCACGTAAAATAGTCGGATAAAGGGAGAATTGTTTAATGAATCATCTAATGAAATCTACAGAGTTGCCTCATCTAATTTTCTCAAACTAGGTTCCACCTTCATTGAAGTATTTTATCCTTTTGGCATCCGTGCTTGTTGAATCCCCTTGTTCGTTTTCTCACAAGTCAACTCAATAGACATTTTTACTCGTCAGTCGTGAGTAAACGTGGGTCATGTGTGGGGCGTTATACTAATTTTTGGAAAAAGTCAGCAATATACGCTTTTTCACTTGGTTAAGTACCGAAGTCTTTTTGTAAATCATCCAAGTTTGACAATTTGCGATTTTTTAAAAAAAATCTATCAATATCCGAAGTCCAATTTTTTATGTTAACACTGACAATTTTATCCGTAAAACTGGTTTCAAAATCAAAGCATTACTGAAGAACATTAGGCTTCACCTGAAAGCTTCCTCGTCTCTCCTGTGATGGATTTCTTGCGCATACAGAAACAGTGCGCTCAAGTTCGTTGGGCCAGAAAAATAAATTTGCATTTTGTGACCTAGTTGGCACTCGATAATGCTTAAATGCTCTAGCTGTCAAATCTAGGCTCTGTCAATGATTTGTATCCTTCCGTGGCATCAACTTGTTGCGGCTGTAAATGCGCTTGCGAGCCACAGAAACTTATGTCAAAGAACACTCGCGTATTCTCAAAACACATAGGTAGTTTCCTTCAAAAGAATGATACTTAACGATTACTATAAAGAAATAATCACTCCCAGATTCAATTGGTAATTTTAAGAACGAAGATATCAATGTAGGGGATTGATGCTTTACGCAGTAATTTGTTTATGTAGTCCCCGATCCAATCTTTCCAAAGTGTTATTAAAACGAACGCTCTTTGTCACCTGAGCAATGCTGCAGGAATGATGTTAGCAGTGTCTTCCATATTCGTTACCTTCAGTGAGTTCATGCCCCAAACTTTGCTGTGGGACCCACGATTGGGATGCCAGAGCATCTGTGTGCAAGGTCGATCTACTATCAAGCAACCAGCCTTGCCAACCTAGCACTTTGGAAGCAAAGATAGCTGGAACTAGGCTTGAAAGAGGACATCAAAATGCACATATTTATGTAGATAAATACAGGAAATGCACCAGTAACTACAACAACGTCATCTTGAAAATATGCGGGTTGTAGAAGCATTAAACTTGACAGAAAACCGGATTTAAAATGGACAGGCAAGGTGTTAAAAGGCACGTGAGTCACCAGTGTACAATTTTGTAGGAGGTTGCAAGCCTGGTATGCGCACGCAAACACAAGAAGAGTACAGAAGATGAATGTACGTATTCTACTAGTACACATCTAGGCGAATTGGGTTGCTGAGGGCCCCGGCATGTTGTCTTGAACCACGCCGGGGCCACTGCAACAATCTAGGATGAATACGTTACCCTGTGTCCCCGCAAAAATAAAGACCGGAGTGGAGAGGGCACAACCGCTTACTAGACAGCTCAACCAAGTTGTGTTGACCGGTACGGTTGAGTGGGCTAGTAGAAATACAGGCGTCTCAACGGTCACATGGACAAGGCGGGTGGTGGTGGTACACACGGAGGTGTTAATGGGCAGTCGGTCCTAATGACTTACGGGCGCGCCGCGAAAAGGGGAACGTGTGTGTGGCTCCGACGATTCACTACAGGGTAGTTGGTCGTGAAGTGAATGTTAAGCACTCTGTATTGGAATAACATGCTCCATGTGTAGGCCTATTGATCCAGCCTTTGTGACTTGAAGATCCCATCGAACACGACGAGGTGGATGGGTCTGTTTACTAACGCGCTAGGCAATGTGTGGAGGTATGTACGAAATTATGGTCTTAACAATGTGGATTAGCAGTATGTAGGAACTAATGTAGGGTCTGGTAGGAGACCTATATGGATACGCCTCCATTCACAAGCCTATCTCGACCAGCTATGCGGTGGCTTGATTTTAGCCAAAACGACCACTAGCTAATGCTGTAACTTATATCCACTTTCTAATGGTGGTTATACCAAGCGCCTAATATGCCAACACGGAAAAACTAGAATCGATTGTGGCGGTCAGCGAACGAACATTGGGTGACAAGCATGTGCTAACACTAATTCAATCAATCATCTTGAGTGCTCTTCACGTCGCGATGTTCGTTCAGAGATCGATGTCAAGCGTTCCTAAGTATGCCCACACCTCTCTATTCTATCAGTTGAGCTCCGCGTCATCTACGATATTCTTTTTTGGTTGGGAGTTGTCAACGTAGATAGTTGATCCAGTGGGAATTTAGAATAACACCGTGGCTACATCCAGGTCTTCTGTGGACGTGTAAGCGGGTAGTTACTCGAAAAGTGCCACGTTCATAATGCAAGGTCCTACATATTGCCAACGTACATATCTCCTCAACGTTATTGCTCCTCTTGCTACCAACGCTTAGGGTGCACAATCACATCAGACAAATTCTGCATGGATGGCAAGACCGCTTAATTCTCGCTGGACAAAAACTTATTATATTTTGGTACATGAAGGATCTCAATGACTTAAATGTCTTTTTTGGAACTGTGTTGTTTATTATCGAATTGTAGGGTATGTTGTTTTTACTCATTTTAGTGCAAGGTTATGCACAAAATGCCGGAAAGTGCTATCGAAACGTATTATGAAAGCTGCTGAAGGCCACAGCAGAGGGTCTTAATCTCATGCTGGGGCTGCCGCGTTGTATTGGCCCTATTACTCTGCACAGATACCCAGGAAAGCGCTAACGAGACCGGAGACGGAACCGTTCATTACATAGCTCAACCAAGTTTCGTCGCGTGCGTGAATTCAAAGCTTGTGAATGACCAATACAATTTGGGTGAACTTGTAAAAAGTTTGAGTGGGTGAACGGCCAGATGAGCGAGGTGGGGAGCGCGGAGGGGTATATACACTGAAGTGTGTGAGCGGACGGACACACTGTAAAAAGGGGGCAGTGTGCCGGAGAATGCAGCAATCGGGTAAATGAGCGTGAACAAACTCGGTTTCCTACAAAGACAGCATTACCAGATCATGGTACCAATTATTATTATACGACATCCCGTTAAATAGGACAGACTGTGCTGTACAACGCGTTTCAACAATGCACAACCATATAAAGAGCATTACAAAATCCATATAGGTAACGAAAACACATGTTGATTTCATGTGTCCGTGATAAGAATCCAGAAATGTCAAATCACATTTTAAAACTGCACAGGTTAGTGATGTACTATAGTTCAGATGTAATGGGTCACATCGAGCTCAACCAATCCGTAGCCCCCATGCGTTTAAATATTCGACGGGGATGATCAACAACCAACCAGAGACTAGGATGGGGTGGGGGTGCTATAGGATGGATGGTGCCTGGCTTTATTGTACCTGTCTTTTTCATGGTATGATTCGGGTAATCTACATAGGCTGTCCGTTTATTGCAACTTTTATTAATCAAATGAGGAACTGAGCCCTCGAACAGCCTAAAATGCAACAGATTAGGCGATCAGATTAAATGAAAGCAAGAATAAAACGAATCCTTTGAATTCTTTTCAAACGGCACTTATATTCCATTTTATTCTGTTAAATTTAAGTCATAAATTCCAGACATTTCGCCAAGAAAAACACATTTTTTCCTCGTTAGTAAATCCAATTTACATTCGTAAACGTGGAGTCGATATTTAGCCGATATGGTTGACTTGGGGACAAAGATTTGAATAATTTGGCCCTGAAAAAAAACCACTGTTGGGTTGGGATAATAAATGCCATAGCTTGTGGTCTTCAATCGGGATTGGTGAATCTATGGCCTTGTTTCCACAAAATACAAGTGTTCACATCATTTCAAAAGATTTTATCAAAATGACCTAACAAGATGTAAATGACGCTCTGACGCTTGGTGTTGCTGTGATTCTTAGCGTCAAGGAGAACACAGAGGAGAATAAAAGGGCCAGTTCATCGAGCCTGAAAAGAAATTTTTGCTAGTGTTCTTAGGTATTTATGGATTAATGTAAATAGCCTGGTGACACCGGTGGTCAACAGGTCTAATGTGCATAGTCAGCAGGTAATCACGAGATATATCTAAAGATGCAGGGTTGAGATTCTCAATATTGAATCGGGGAGTTGCAATCTAACTGGGCAGACCATGTTGACAAGCGTACATTAAGTACATTAGCCGCAAAAGCTGAAGCACAGAAACCAGGTGCTGAAGTTGGTGGACAGAACGCATTCGGTTCCTATTTTTGGAGGATATTCACTGCCTCATGTCAGACAACCGTGTAACCTACATATCTTTAGTATTGATTCAAATTATATTGCTTGGATTAATTCACCTGGATCAGATTGAGCAAAATTCACATTCATTTTTAAAATAGACACAGAATCGTACAGTATTCTTCAAAGTAGATCGGGTTATCGTAGTAGGGATATTATTCGAATTCAAAAAACAGCATATTGAACCAATGTGAACCAAACATATTTTCTATTTAAAACAGTAAAAAAATTAACAAAACTTTGAAACTTGCTTTATATTTAACATTTTCAATAGCTAAATAGTTCCAGTGTTCCATGTTCTTAGTTATTCTAAACAACTGAAGTGGACTTAGGTTATTTTTACCTTAAAATTAGCAAATATATTATGTTCTGAGGAAACCTAAAATACTTTATCAGGCAACCCTAATAGGCATTAAATAACAACCCCCAAAGTAAAACAACAGAGATTCGTTTTCAGGTAAATTAATTTTACAAAACTCAGACGCTTAAGAAAAAAAGCAACCATGCGATCTATTCACAGCCGCTTATCCTTCGATTCGTGTGGTTGTTTCAACGATGAATTATATGGCATTTAGGCTAGAATGTGAAAGCATGAAATTTAAGTTGGCTTTCATGTATAATGAGTAATTGCAGAATTTTGCTCGTTGAATTAAAAAATACACGTTAACGAAAAGAAGTTGTTTTGTTATAGAACAAAAACCGAATAACTCCTAGTAGACCATGGGTAAGACCAAATGATTAACTTTTAACCTGTGATATATGTGCAGATTTTACATAAATTTTAAAACTTAAAATTCTATGCCAAAAACAATCTAGAGTAATATTCTTTGCCAGGTTTCATTTATTCAAATTCAATTAACAGGATCTATATTTTTTGGGAATTTTCTGTATTTAGGTTTTAAGATCGGTTTGCATCTACCTTTTTCTCTGCAAGACAATGACGGGTAGAAAAGGGTGTAAGAAAAAAAACGGTAACCGAATTTTTTCCTGCTAGCCTGGCGGAAAAAAGGAGTCGGCAATTTGTGACCGCGCTTTTCAAGTTCGTTGCCGAAGTGTTTTCAAGCTGGTTATCGAAGGTAGTGTGCACTTGAGGTAGCTTAAATTGAGTATTATACATGCAAAATTGGTTGTAACCTTATTTTATATCTTATTTTTTGTTTTACGGTTTTACTAATTAGAAATACCTACTCTGTTAAAAGCAAATAATTGCCTACTAACATTCCCCTTGAGAAGTCATTAATTGAGACCATCTGTAAAATTCGAGTTCACTTTACCCTAATGCGGTAGTTTGTCAGACGTGCTCATTTATGACATTCCGGTGGAGTTTCTTTCACGAGATCCTAAGAACCTCATCCTTGAATATTGCCAAATAAAGCTCAATTTGAATGATTTTTTTATTTAAATCACAGACTGGCTAGACCGCTTATAGAATGCCAGTGGATGTATTAAGTTTATTTTTTACGTGGCATTGTCTAGCTTGAACTTATCAATGAACCACTGAGTGGGCTTATGTTAGGTTTTATTTACTATGTTTTCGTTGTAGTCGAATAAATTTGCCACGGAATCTTGAATCATTTTTAGTGTCAATTGCGTTTTGCCTGATTTACAATTTCATGTGTCTATTATAGATTTTCTAGCAAAAACGTTGTACTGCCCAATATTCAATTGCCTTCTAACACATTATGCTCTATCTTGTTAATACATATGATAAATAAATTTTAAATTTTAAGCATGACCTACCACATAGTCTAGACATCTGTTTCCTTGTTTAGACATCTGGATTAATGCTTATTGGAGCCGTCCGTAGAGTTGCCTACGTTATCTATGCCTTATGGAAGCTGCTCCCATAATTGAGTCGAAAACAAGCACTGCGTCAGAAGGTCATATCACCGTAGACCACGAGCATAAAAATTGTAATGATGTTGCGAATGGTCTCCCTGACGAAAATTCTCGGTCTAACACCGAAATATTGTCTTCTGGTCTTAATTTTGATCAAGTGGATACTAGTAATGAACTTATTTCGCAACCACCACCAAATTTTGCGTCTGCTGTGTTAAGTACAGAGTCAAAGCTGTCAGAATCCTCAAATTTCTCTCCTGCTAAAAATGGTACTGAAGAACTACATTGGAATGACTCCAACGGTGGCCCAAATCTCTCGTCTGAGCAACCATCAGGTAGTTCTGAAGAGAATCATGGTGACAAACGTGAATTTATCAGCAATTTATTATCGCCGTCATTGTTACCAACGAAGGAATCACAGTCACCGATATTCGCTAATGGTCCTTTGACATTGATAACTGAAACAGTATCCACAAATATTCATCAACAGAACCACTTAAATTCGGAAGAAGAGAAGATGAAGAATCATAGTTCTGTGAAAAATCAGGAAAATAAAGCCATTGCCAAACACGGCTTTAGTGAATTGGCCACGGAAGAGTCGATCTTACGGAACGGCAAGGAAATAGATAGTTTTAATCATGACCAGTCAGAGTCACTATCGCCTGAACTATGTGAATCCGGACTTACCAACATTGAGCAAGCTTCCACCCGTGATGTTTGCGATCCTACAGATGTTAAATGTCCTGAATCCTTTTATGCCGAAAATAAGCTTGAGACTTCCTCTAGCTCGGATGATTCAAAGCTTGCTGTGTCGGTAGCACATAAAATGAGTGATGGAGGAGGTGATACGGCCTCAAATTTTTCCTCTGAAGAAACAGAAAACGTAGACGATATAGTTTCCCTCCGAACGCAAGTGTTAGACTTGTCGGCAAGGTTGCTTCGGTCACAAGAACAAATGGAATCCCTCCTGGAAGAAAAGCAAAGGTGGCTAACGAGTATTCGCCAGCAGTCTTCGTATTCAAAATCTAAGCCCTCTGTCTCCACAGATGCTGCTGCTATTGTTGTGAGGTTTGCCCAGGTATGGCGAAATCGTTTGCCAAAGCTGCAGTAATTTGATTTATTTTGTTGCAGAATCTAATAGCATTTTCATTGGCAAAGACATAACATGAAATATTTCCCTACTGAGATCACCAGGGTAACAGGATTTTCAAAAAAAAACTTATTGAAAATTGGCATGCTTAAAGCCTTAAGACAAAATAAGGAATAGTTCTCATGTTCTCAAATCCTGATAAAAAATACCTCGAATCCTGTAAAATGCTCTCATATTTTTTATAAATTTCGCGACTTAGATTTTAGTTATATCTACGATCTGTACTTGGCTGGCTTTAATCATCACTTATAGGAAACTGGTTGGGAACTTAGTAGTTAATTATGGTATCAACTTAAAGCAAGTTAAGGATCTTTCGATCGTGATCCCCCATTTTTTTTAAATCCTCCCTCGTCTTTCTCGGCGCCAATTTTAGTCCGAGCAGCAGAGAATGAAAGCTGAGGCCAAAATAAAAGAATTAGAAGACACAGTTGCTCGCCTGAGTGCAGGAAGTACAATCCCACCAGAATCGACTATCGCTACTGAACACTCGGTCCCCGTCGACGAGTTGAATAAGGTATACTCCCTATCACTCTCCTTGATACTACATGTCTCAATTGACTGGGTTGTGTGTAAACTTGTGCGTTTAGGACTAGTGCTTCCTGTTCAGAAAATTACTTTAGTCATTTTCCACATACACCAGATTTATTTTGTGCACTAGTCTTTTGTACTTATCTTTAATATTAGTCATTCATTACAGCTGACTGTTGGCTCCTTAGTCATTTGCGGTATAACAATAGTCTAATGCCAGTTGTCACTGTCTCCCGCCGATTATTCACCGTTTCCCAGCCTTACTAATTCATAGTTTCTGGGCTGTACCTAGTTCTAAATGCCAACGTTCCTTAACCATGACTTTGTTAGAAGGGGATCCAAAGTCTGTTTTGTGACTTCTTGGTCCGGTTTTTCCGTTGTTACGTCAAAATGTCCCCCTTTTAGAAAGTCGACGTGGTGCCCCGTCCACACTGATTAAGACTACCTATGTAATAATGCGCTTCAAGTTAAGGATTTTTTGTAAAAGCATCGTGTTTCTTATTTTCTTTTGGAACTTTTGTACTTGTTACAGACCTGAAATGTTTCCAAGAGAACCTGAGCAGATATCTGTTGATATATTAGCGGTGCCTAGGTTTATAAATTCACCGGTGCGCAGGCCCCTGAATGAGTTACTCAAGCAGTGTTTAAGTGCATTTCCGCATCAGCCAAGTTGGAATGTGTTAACTGAAGGCGAACACAATGCCATTCTCTGTTTCGTTGTAATCGTCAAAAACTTCATCCCTCTGTCACATCAGTCTACTACTAGATTCCGATCATCTGCTAAGGTAAACATGTCTATCAACGGAAGTAGTTTTTTGCGCAGAAGATTTTCCACTACACCTGCTTACTAGTTCAAGTTGTGTAAACAATTAATGTAATGGGCCTACGAAATGTATTTCATGTGCATGTCTCGTCACTGAGTCATGCATTGCTTGTTTAAAGTTAGAACCGGTTTACTTCAAATGATGCACTATAATGGGTGTGGGGAGATTATTGTCTTCCATGAAGCAAATACAAATTCATGGAGGTCGTCACGTCAATCTTACCCTCCTTTTTTTCCGTTGTCGGTAGTATTGCTCACTTTGGTGAATCGACTGTCAACTAGGGCTGTCACCCTACTAGTTCGTTGGCTGACATGCTTATATACCTACCTAACTAACCTACGCAATATTCATATCAGTGAACCGTGGTTCGGGCTTAAATGTGAAAAAAATATGCATCAAAGCCAAGTCTAGTTTCTAACTCGCGGTTGCAACAAACCGTTGGACTGATAAAGTCTATTTTACTAAAACGAGTTAGTCCCTATGCCTTTTCCTGGCTCTCCTATAGAGTTTAACTTTTTTTTAATTCTCAACACATTCATTTTTCAAGCGTTTCGCGGCCTCTATTTCTGTTTTTTGAATCAAAATCTTGATTGGATTAGGCGATGAGAATAGATTGGCGTGCTTTTAGGTATCTGGTGCATTGACTAGTTCCTACAGCATTGCCGATGCTTTATCCTTTTTTTTAAAAACAACTTCGTGTATCGTGACGACTTGTACTTGTAGGCTCTCACTGAAGCACGTGAGAAGGCGGAACACTTTAGGCACGCCTTGAAGCAAGAGGAAGCACGGGTGGGTGACCTCAGCGCCAAATTGAATGCCGCTCGCGAGGCACATCGCAGTGAACAAAAACGTGCTGCTGGACAGGCCGAAACGATAGGAAAACTCAATCGGGAGGTTGAGTCGCTTAAACGACAACTCAAGGTAAAGTTGTTTAGTGTAATGACTAGAAAACTCGTTTTTGACCCAGAGAATTGGCTTTATGCACATTTTTCACGCTGCCTGATGTCATTTTGTTGCATTTCTGGCGATCTGAGCCAAATGCTATTTTGGATCCTCATCATTAATGGACTTTGTACCATTCTCGATTTTTCAAACTTCAAGTAGAGGTGGTAATCTAACAGGGCAGGTTTGGGGCTATGCGAGGCCCAATGCAAATTCACTTTTTAACCAAACTCCAGCAATTTCCTACGAGTTGCCAAATGCGTGTGAGGCCTTGTGCTGTCTTGATAGAACACGATTTCTCCTCTCCTTTTTGTAACCGTTTTTCTCTTGGGGACCCCAATTCCAGTTTCTTCAATTGTCGGCAGGAAAACATGATCTCTACAGCTTTCACGAGATAGTGAAATAGGTCGTAAATGTTTTACGCTCCGTGTTGACACACTCCTGAACTAACAGCTGCAAGAAAAATTTGGTGTCTATCAAAAGCTAGTATGGAAAAATCGCTGCACTGCCTTTAATTGCTTTCTCACGTGCTGTCAACATTGTAGATCTTGCGTTCTTTCCTATGTCAAATTTATCATAACCTTGAGCTGTTGATTCTCTACTTTCTCTGGTAAACCAGATTACTGTTCCAACATGTTTTTTTAGTGGTTATTAATGTTGGTCCCTGGTTTAGTGGTAAACACCATGGGTGTTTCTTCTCTTATTGGTTCGAATACTATGATGGCTGTCGTAAACACCGCCTTATAATCTAAACTCACTTTTGACGCACTGAAACTAAACGGTGCAGAACTCTTAACAGTTGCTGTGGAATTTAAGTCGGCGTGTCATATTTCAACTCACTTTTCCCTTTTTTTCTGAACACGAACCCGATTGTGGTCCCCATGATATCGTTCTTATGGCCGCTTATCCGTCTCCTGGCTTTTGACGCTGCAAGTAATGTTGCAAATGTGCAAAGTCTGCTAAAGAATAAATTTTACGTGTGATGTCAAGTTGGTCAATTTTTTGAGCCACAGCTCCCCCTAGGGGTTGATAGTAGGATGAAAGGGTGGAAAGATGTGTTTATTTATCTACCGGCCAAACGGTTATTGTCACTGTGAGGAGGTAACCCTGAACGGTAGTAATGAGGCATCGCTTTCATTTGTACTCGGTGGATAATTTTTCATCTAAGGTGCCAAATACTGATGGGGGAGGGGCGGCCATTAGCCTGCACAGTGTCTTTTACGTTTCTCCTCCACTTTAGGACGCGGACAAGCTGCGAGAACGGGAGGCCAAGCGGTTATGCGATGAGGTGGCTTTTCAAGAGTTGACTGACAAGTACAAAAAGGCCCTAGCCGATATTTCGGCTCTCCGGGAGCGTATCTCCAAGCTTGAGGAGGTGGAGAAGTCCAAATTGGACTTGGAAGCAAAACATGATGAGTACGTTGTACACTGCTCTGATGGTAGATTCCATTCATGATTTTCTCCATTGCCTTGAAGTGACTTTTGAGCCCTTAAGGGAGATTTAAATCTCACATCTTCGGTACGATTGGTCGTGTTGACCTCATTGTGACACCCCACGAGTGCCTCATGTTATCCCGTTGTCAATTTTCATAACGCCTTTGATCATCCAATTTGGAAATTGTGCCAGCTATAAGTCGAATCTACTTCCTACCGATAGCAAAGTTATGGCTAATTCCTTCGCCATCGCCTTGCGCAACGGGTGTCCAATCTATTCCACCCCACAACCTGTGTTGTCAGCATTGTTGCAGGAAGCCATCAAGTTGGATTTTTTCGTGTTGTTTTATTTAATTGGGAACTTTATCAGGTTTTTTACCTTCGGCAGTGCCTCTTGGAATTCCTGTTCACGATCTTCATATTTCTTTTGGTCTTCTGACGAAGATTCACCCAACAGTCTGTTTATAAACTGTCTACTGACAATTAAACACCGCGCTCAAAGTGTTTATCAAGTCGCCGAACTAGGCACCATCACAAACCCTCCATAATCCGAATCGTTTTTTGTTTATTTATCAAACCAATAACTTATACCAAATATGTAGTTTTTTTTCCAATTTATGGCCTATCGATGGCATTGGTAATTCACGGTATGATACTTCGCGTTTGGTCGCCTTTATGTACAACTTTATTCCAATTTTTTGTAATACTAGAGCCGACGTCATTTTAACACGTCTCTGTGGTATTTGCTAGTTATTTTGGAACTGCCGTACATGCGTTTACATTCCTTTCTTTGAACACTTGCAAGCCCTTTTCAGTTAGAAAAGGAAACACCTTAGACGCGTTTTTTTCTGGGCTCTAAAGTAGTTTATTATTTGACTTGGTGCACAGTAGATCATTGTTCATTTGTACACATTCTGGTACGTTACGTTTCCGTAAATGTTAATGCGGCTGCCAGCCTTTGATAAAACTTAGAACTGAAGTGTTTGTGAAGTGGATCCGTTTCTGCGTTTGCTGGCTTGGCTTTTACCTTGACTTAAGTCTGCTTCCGTGCTCCTAACTTAGCCAATAAGTGATTCAATGCATTCTGTTTGACCGGATGCCTTTTTACCATGTTTCATTCTTTGATGATTTTGCAAACTTAGGGGAGACACTGAATTAATGCAACTCATTACATTTGCCAAGCACTTCTCCACGCACGTGTACAATATCCCTTTGGTCGTTCTTCAATATCTTTGTTCGATTAGCTTAACAGTACATTTTCCTGCCCTTTACTGTTCAAATACCCGACGGCTCCACTAGTTACCCGCAGTAGACGAAGTCTGTTTATTTACATTCAGCCAAAGTTGGTAAATTTAATGGCCGTGGAAGTGGTCACTACTCCTAACACAAAATGCCTCCTTTGGCGATGCCTAAACACAGTGTTTTGTTTGTGTCTCCTCGGTAGACTTCAGAAGGCGCACGACAGCCTCCTCTCAGTTAGGGAGGAGATGGAGCTCTGTGAGAAGCGCGAGACGCAGTTGTCTGAGTTCACTCGTCGCCTGACCGAGCGCAACGCCGGCCTACAGGCGGACTACCTGGCGACGCAGTCGCGTCTCGAGGCGAGCGAGCGCGCCGTCGCCGAGGCCAGCCAGGCTGCCCGCGAGGCCACGGCGCTCGCCCAGGCCACCGACTCGAAGCTCCGGCAGGAGCGAGCCGAGTCCGCCAAGTCCGTCGCTCTCCTCGAGGCTCGGGTAAGGGCCTCACTGCATCCTCTATTGGCGGTTTTAGCGGACTGAGTGAATCGTTTAGTCAGCAGCAGACAATAAATTTTAGTATATCGACACTTCGTTTAACCTTGTACTCTCGCTACCATTTACCATCCTTCAAAGTGTACATTAAAATGCTGAACAAGCATTCTAATCACACCATAATTTTCTCAAGTTATAGTTTCAAACTTGGACACCGTCAAGAAATCCTTGATCATCCACCTTGTAAACCACTGCAACAAGTTTTCATTAATTTCTACATCAGAAGGAGCCAATTTGTTTGCGGTGTCGTTTCGTGTTAACTTGGCGTAGGGCTTAGTTGTGTGCGTAGACCGAATACAATTTCTGGAGGTTTCGTTCTAATTGAAGCGCGATTTTGCGACCTCTGCACTTTCACTTGCCTCGCGGTAAAAATAGCACAACTGCTGGATATTAAAAGTAAGAAATGGAACGTTCACTTGCCAACAAATCTTCAATTTGTCCATTTCCGTAATGAAGATGAACACGTTTTGAAGCACCGCATGTGAACTTTCCGACCACCACTTTTTTAGTTGTCCGAGTTGGCTCAATCTGAAGCGACACTTAAGGCGGAGTTGGCCAAAGAACGCGTTCAGAAAGCCGCACTCAAGAGAAAACAAAATGCCCTCGATCGCGAACTTGCCCGCCTGATGGCCCAACAGAAGAAGCTTTCGCAACAAGTCACCACAGCTGAAGCATTGCGACAGGATGCGGCATTGGAGAAGTCCTTTGCCGGCTCGTCACAGAGTCTCAGCACACTAAGTGAACAGTCTTTTACGGTGAGAATTGCATCACTTTTAACTATCTCTGCGGTCCACTAACGTAACAGTGTCATCAAGGCACATTATGGATCTCTTCCAGATGTTTTATTGGCGGGTTTCGCGTAAGAATTCGGTGGAACCCACCTCATAGTCCAGGTTTTAGTCAGTTCCACGCCTCCATAAACTGCTTAGGAATGTTTTTACTGCGCTATACCTTTGCTTGTTGTCAAATGCTACTTAGACATGCAGACTTGTAGTGGTAGGTTTTTCTTGGACTCCTGAAGCCACGCTTTTGGATCCCCTTACTTGGACTAACCCATCGTCACTGCACAAAACTGTAGTTATAAAAAAACTGCATTTTTTCAGAAAATAAAGGGCAAAATGGGTATCTTACAATCTTGCTCAATCGAGTTGTGATCTTTTCTTCCAGCCTTTTCACATATCAGATTCGCCACATCCAAACCCAGTTCTGGGAGATGCTCTTTTGATATCCCCTGGAACTGATGGAACGACTACCTCCGCACAACATGGAGCTCCAGGTGAAGCCAGCGATTGTCACACTGATGATACCGTTCCCATGATCCAGACAATTGAACCAAATAGGGCTCTTCTTGTAAACAAAATTGATCGTCTCCAGCGCACAAACGTACGACTAATGGAGAAGATAGATTTCCTCCACGAACATGTCGGCCAGTTGACACTGGAGCTGCAGAAGAAATCGCGCATCTTGCAGGTACGTTTGTGTGTTTGTCTCTATTTCATCGTATAGAAACATCCTTATATTAGCTTGGTCTTAACGCGTCATGTGGTTAGTTGGGCCTCAGCTTCTCTCCCGGCATGTCTTTCTAATCTGGCATAATAATCGTAGCCCATATAAACATAAATTTCTTGGTATATGTTGAGAAGTAGGTCTGTGTCACTTTTAAAATGAAATGAAGGTTGGTGAAAAACCCATATTTTGAAATGTAAGGCGAAAACAAGAGTTTTTACACTAAGAGATATGCTACTTAGTGTCTAGTAGGTTCCATAAAAATTACTGGTGATAAAAACGTAGGTTTAAATCCGTCACTGCAGTCTAATGTTCTCTACTGTCTGTAAACGAAGTATTACCTAGTGATCTTTCACGAAGCCTTGTAAGACTGTATCCGTGCAATTCCAGAATTGTACGAGCCTTTTTACATCTGTTAAGGCTTGTCGAAAAGGTTGCCGATCTACTTTCGTTATATAGCATTACTTGGTCCTAGAGAAAGCAGACTTGCATAAGTTTTGAACTTGTTCATTAGCTACAAGTTTCAAGTGGCTAGAGGTTGTAGTGGTAGATCCGTACAGTCAGCTACTAGGTAGTATGCTAGTGATGTGTTTAGTGTTTCCAAAATTAGCAATGAATGCTCTGAAATTCACGTGTTTGGGAATTGATAGAATGGTACGAGCGTTTTTGCATCTGTTAAGACTCGCCGAAAAAATTGCTGACCCGCTTTTTCGATGTAGCACTGCTTGGTCCACCACGACACGGATGAAGATGGTGGGTTGGGGGCGGCGGTGCCCTCTTCAGTTGACGCCAACAAGCGCCAGCGGATGCGCAGAGGCGGCACTCTTATGTCGGCCGTTTTCGCGGGAGACAGCAGCTTAGACTCCAACTGCAGCACCACTGACCTCCGCACCTCATTACAAATCAACCAAAAACTGCAAACCGTACTAGAGGATACGCTTTATAAGAACTTTACTCTTAAGGTAGGGTGTTTTTAATTTGGTGTTCACGGGCTACAACAACGGTGTGGTTTGCTAACTATTGTGGCGGTATATGCTGTCACGAATCCAACGTCTATTAGGACCTGCAAAAAGCCCATAATTATTGTGTTAGCTTTTTACTGTTTCCATTAACTACGAGTTTTAAGTAGCTAGCGTTCAACAACCTATAACCTAATTTACGGTCTAAAAGTAGCGTGACGTTGCCTCAATTAGGGTGGTTTGAGTTGAACACACAGTACCATTGACGTTCAAGAATGCATTTTAGTGGGTTTGAGACCACGTAGGCAAAAGGAACACACCTGCGGATAAGTTACATTCATCGTATTGTAGGAGAGATATTCGAAAGTAACCACGAATAGAATTTTTGGTGGATTGATTTCAGTCTGCAAGAAAGCATTCTCGCTGATTGTGATTTTGAGTTTGTCTAGAAATAAAACCTACCTAGTTTTGTGCTCGTGTATTCCCTTTTTCGAACCCGGTTATCTCGCTGTATTTTCATGGACCACCGATTTTGTAGCAAATTTGGTGCAAGATTGCCTTTTGAATGCACTCAAACAGACAAACTGGACCCACTTAGTATGCTATGCGCTTCCCGTCACACATGGCAAAGTTTTCAGGAATCCGAGCGTTGTATATTACTTCTGTTCAGTTGTACGTACCCACAATAAAACGTCACACCGTATGATAAACTTGTTTACACAAGCGAGTGTCCTCATGTGTCTTTCTTTTGCAGGAGAATGTGGACACCCTTGCAGATGAGGTTGAACAGCTAAAACGCGCCAACAGGGAACTCAAGGACCTTGTTTACATTCAAACCAACGTACAACCACAAAAGCATGCCGAAATTTCGGCTGTTCACCCACATCGATGATCTTAAAACCAGATATCCTTTCGATGACAAGCAAGCAATGTGATAGCCTCGCGGGTTCCCCAATATCTACCCTTTTATCTGTGATGCTTTGTTAATATGGTGATCCGAATTAATATACTCCCTTAGGTTTTCAACGACAACCTCATTAGCATTACTGTAGTTCAAATGTCCTCTCACGCCTCACCAACAGAATGCAATATGCACTCGTCAAAGTGCAGCGCTAACATTTACGTAAGCTATGAGCGGTGTTTATGCACAGAAGTTGCGGACAGAAACTTGAATTTACTACTGTACTTGAGAACCAGGCGCGCCTACTCAAACGAGAAAAACTAACTTTGAAATTCTGTGGCGTCCCAAACCAATTATAAATGAAGGCAATTTATCTTGTATGGCCGAAGTGCGTTTAATAGGAAAATATTACAAATAGCCTGATAAAACTATGCCTGAACGTCCTTAAATGGCTTGCATTACAAAGCTGATTGCATGCGCACGCAAGTCTAGCCTCACATCTTCGAATTAGCCAACACCAACGACAGATGAGAGGGTCGTGTTTGAACTGAGATTGTACGTGGTAGAATAAGGTTGGGTGATTGTCGAGCAGACAGGATATAAACAATCACGGTAAAACGGAAAAGCGCTCCCGTTTTGTATGGCACGAGAGAGAAGAGGCTGTGGCGCAGAGAAGTTGAGGTAGACACAGTGAGGAGTCGTTAGCTGGTCAAAGCACAGATTGGACGGGTTCGGGAAAGACGAAGAGAACCCGTGAGTGACGAAAGAAACAGGCGATGGTAGTTGGTCCAATGGATTACTACCCAAAAACACCGTGGTCGGTGGTTGCGAAACAGCAAGAAAAGCGGCGGCAAATACGGCCATGGCCTGTAAGAATTTCATAATGGCCTTGCATTACAATTTAGCAACTAGATATTTGTAAGAGGTTCACACAATTAAGGTAGACTCTGTCTCTTATTATTAGGCCCTGTCAAGAAATGTAAGCAATTCCATGTTGTAAACGACACATGTTGATCAAAATATTCATTCATTAACTCAGTAGGGTGGATATTTAAAGATTTTATTCAGGCGCACCAAAATTATTGAAAGTCAATTAAAAGTAGAGTCTGCGTAGCTTAGCCTTGTAGATTATCAAAATACTTCAACTTTGTACAAACACTAGGGGTGGAATTTCTCATCAAAGAGTAAAAGAGAAGAAAGTTAAATTTTATTAACAATGTAGTAAAGGCAATGAATAATGATCAACAAAGGCGGCATAAGAATTCTAGGTACTAGGTAATAAACGATCATTTGTAGTAAAAGTACAAAAAGCAACACTAATAAGACTCACTTTAGCCACTTGCCACCTGGCACGTGTTTTCACACGGTTTCGATCGAAAGGAGTTCCTGGGATCCGGAAAGCTGAAGAGGAACGGCTGCGGTGTTTACAGAGCATTGAAACTTTACGCGTGCCATCTCCCAACACTTTTTCGCCATTAACGAGGTGTCGGGCGATAAATTCGTCGATGTGAGATTTTGAGACAAATAACTTCCAATCAAGAGATCGCAGAAACCGAATCTCCATGAGATTCAATGTTTTCAAATCTATGTCGAATTCATTCGCCCAGTCACTGTTGCAAAGAGCCTCTTCAGAATCGGTATCGTAAAGGAACTTCGAAGCTACCATCTAGACAAAAAAGTGACGTGAGCAGAAGAGTCAAATCCAATGAATTTCCCCAATTGTGCCTCATAAAAGAGTCCTCAGACGTGCACCATGAAGACAAGACAAAAACGGACCAAAAAGAATAGATTACTTACTGTAGCGACAACAAGTAATTCCGTTGCGGTGATTTCCGAAAATAGCAACGGCTTCGGTTCAATTGCATGAAATTTCTCAACAAAGATCAGAGCTGTGATAAGGGTCGAAGGTGTCACCTTGCTACATATGGAGATGCTGCAATATTTATGTAGTATTTACCTGATAAATTCAGAAAGCGTGTATACATCCAGCTTACCCAATTGACGTCCAGTAGCCGAATTTACCAAATTGATAACAGTGCCTAAAATAAAAATTATGACACTTTAGGCTTAGTTTACATAACTCACGTCAAAAAACAAAAGGTTACCACGTCGTACACCAAGATAATATTATAATGAGGTAAAAGGAAGTTCAAAACATAACGTATTAAATTACACAAGGAATTTTGGACTAAAGAGGCACTAACCACTCAGATCTAACAAGCAAATAATATTTAAAACACCACGAAGATACTTACCGGAAAGGCAATTTAAGGTGTTTTGCATGTCAGCGACTTCCTCTACGGAAAAACGCGCACAGCAGAATCCAACCCCAGTGGGAGTACTGACGACCGCGACACCAAATCAACAGCGAAATGACCTCTAAAATCAGTTAGAGTTATTACATTTGTCACAGTTATTTGTTCATGAATAACACAAAAACTAATGATATAACAAAACCCCCCTATTTAAGGTCACATTTACTATCAATTTCAATGTCTTAGTTTTTTTTGTTTAAGAATGCAAAATCAGATCTCATAAAAAATAATCGATTTCATTACTAAGGTATTTAAACCTTCATTCTTTATTTACTCATTTGTGGTAAATGTAGACGGCGACATTGAATGCCTCTGTGGATAAATTAACCGATGTATTTTCAGTCTGAAATTGAAGATAGAATTTTCAGTAAAATAACATTAAAATGGCTTACTTTTTCAAATTTGGTTAGCTCTTAGGCACATTATTAATAGTTAAATAAATAATCCCCAAATTGATTCTGTTTTAGCATATGCTATAATCTATTTACACTGGTTAAATTTGATTCGTAAATCCTGATCTGACTGATTGAGCTAATGGGTTATGAAGATATAAATTGAAATTGTATTTGATTTTAACTAGATGTCAGTAAGAATTAGTTGACTTAGTTAATTCGATTTTAAATAAAGGTTTTTAATGCAAAAAAGTTTTAGTGGTCTATTTACTATTTATTTACCAGTGAAACCGCCGGTTTAGCGAGTCTAGTCTCTCATGAAAATGTGTCTTCGCGTGATCGGCATTTTTTTGTTACTTTCCCAATTTACTTTTGGGTTCACAGGTATTGACACATTTGTAATATGTTCGTGTTTCAGTGGAGTCTTCTGAAAATGCTACACTTCCTACTCACACATCAAACCTTCAGTACGAGAGCATCCAATTCTTGAAACGTTCCAAAAATGAAACCGTGCACCTTAAATTGAAATATGTAATAAATGGGCTAACTTCCACTGACGTGAAACTTTCTTGGGCCTTTAATAATGAAAGCATTTCAGTCAGCAACTCTGAAGATCGCAACAAAATCTTTGCGCAACGGGAATTCGATTCTGGGGGGAACTTGATATCCGTCACCCTTAATCTCAAAGATGATGGTATGCTCGCTTTTTTTGCTTTTAATTAGCGGATATAGCTGCAAATAGTGGCATTTACGTTCTGACCATAAACGCTGGCAGGGAATCTGCGTCAGGTGCCGCTCACGTTTACGGTAAGTTCAGGCCATGACCTCTGTGACCATATTAACTCGTAGGAATTTGTCACCTCTAGTTTTAATTTTTCTTATTTGTGAGCGTCAAAAAATCGACTACCTTTGATTCATGTCTGTTTATTTCCTTTTTTTGATTTTACATTTTGTGGCCTTTATTTCTCACTTTGTTTTGTTCTATTCGCGTCAAGAAATAACCTTAATTAATCAATTTGCACTTTGTTTTGAGCACTTGTGTCCTATCGCGATGATTTTTATCCTAATCCTTGTTCATTAAATCTATTGTACATATTATTGCCCTTGACAACTGTATCGAATGTAACGGGGTAATCATCTACTAAACCATTTGCTATAAAATACTGATACTAATCTTAGTTGTTCCTGTTATTGTTTAGATTGACCATACCTGATTGAAACTTGCATCTGCTAGCAAAGCTAGATGTGGAGTGCATGCACCTTTAACATGTGGGCATAGATAATGCTTTTTGATCGTGATTAAGGAATCACGTGTGATATCGTTTTGAGCTTCTTTTTTTACAAAATTCAGCTTACCGTATTGTTTGTGTACCTACGTTATCTTTGCTTTTTTATGGGTTAACGAGAATCATTCAAAATTCTCGCAACGTGATACAAGCTGCGTATCAATCTTCTACCTACTGTTATAGAGGGTAAGGTGTTTCATGTACTTTAGGAAATTTAATCTAACCTGAATGGGCCAATCATTTAAGGTAATGTTCTTTGTGTGTGAATTCGTCAAGTTCACTACAAAACACTGTTATAACAAATATCGATGCAATTTTCTAGGTTATGCAACTATAATTTTTTGACTTTTAGCTGCTCCAATCCTGCCTGTTTATTCCAAACCAAAACGCGTGCTACAGGGTGACCCGCTTCGCATTTCTTGTCGTGTGTCTGGTTATCCGACCCCTGATAGCGTTCAGTGGTTGTTCGCTCCCATCGCTGTTGAGTTATCTGATGACAAGGCTGCTATTTCAGACGCCTCGGCAAATCTTAGGCCCATAGACTTGACGGACAAAGAGTGGGAAAATGCCAAGCTTTATAATGAAGACGGCACACCAAATGATACACTTCGATTGAGTGCACCTAACATCTCTCAGAATGGCCTTTTTGCCTGCAATGTCTCTAACATTCTTGGTACTGACTCCACTTTCCTTCTCGTTGGTGTGAAAGGTATGTGCTTATTGTATTCAGACGAGAGTCTTCATGGGTATTTTTGCGATTTACCATTTATTTTTGCCATCAGTCATTAAGCTCGGATTTCTGGCGCTCTTCATTTCCTTCACCATGATCTGTGCAACTACTTTGCCGTTTAGCATTGAGCTTTCAACACTGTGAAACTCATTCCTTATATGATAGTACATCTCGGATACACTTTGGATATATGGAGATAGTGGGTTCAGGCAGTTTTCTGGTGTTGTTTGTTCAAAGTTCACCACATCTACATAAAGTCAACCACAGTGGTCTTGCGGGATTCTATAAGTTGTGTTAGTGCTGCTGGATTGAATCCATGTGAGTGTAATTGGCAATTATCTTTATGAGAATGGGCCTAAGTTAGACGTGAGTGTTTTGTTGGCACGTCGGTCCGTCCGCTGGGTTTCAGTTCTACCTTCGCAACCAAGCTTGCAAGGCTATTTGGATGAAACCTGCCTCCGTGAAATGCTGTGACTATACATAAACTGAAGTAAGGCAGTTGATAAATGCCACAAATCCTAATTAGCGGAATCGCGCGTATTCCTTTTTCGAATTTATACACAGCACTTTTTCTCAACTTACATAAGATGTGTGCCCTGTGGTTAATCAACCTGTTTGGGTCTTTTATGAGACTTGTCAATGAAACCCTCTAAAGTCACTTGCCTATGCCGTCTTGGACAGTGAATTTTCCTCTGTCTTATCGAGGTATTCCTCTCCACCTTTAGCCTCTTCTCAAACTCCTGAAATATTTCCCATTACAAACCGCGTTCTGTAATTAGCGATTTGTGTGTATGTGTTGTGGGCCCCAGCATGTGGTCTTGAACCACGCCGGGGCCACAGAATTAACCCTGGCCCAATTACGCTTGCCTGATACTCGCAATGAAGGAAGAGGCCGGAGAGGACGGACACAAGCGTTTACTTCAGAGCTCAACCACGTTGGTGTCGTTGTGTCGAGTGTGGGGCTTGCGCGTGCGTATTTATAGATCGGATGTGTGAGTCATACATGCGCTAACACTGAGACCTAGGCGTGAGGTTAATCCAAGATAAATATCCATGAGAATGAGGGGGGAGTTGAGGGTTTGCGCGGCTTTCGCCATGCTGCGAGACGGGGAGCCTTGTATCGGAGGCGAAGCGATCGGATTAAGATGTTGAATAAACACGATTCATAAAATACGTTTCCAAACATGCAGATATTACGTGGAGTTCCTCTCGTCCGTATTTCTCATTATCAAGTGTTTTCACAGCAGTAGTCTGGAATACAGAATAAATGCTTCCTCCAAAGTAAACAAAACCCACCAGTCTTGGCTCAAATTCAGTTCCTTCTAATTAATCATTGCGGTTATCGGCATTAAAAGTGTCATGCCACGAGTTGGTCAAATATGTACGTAGGTGAAGATTCGCAACACAGGCCTTTTTAAAATCATTCAACCTAAATTACGCAATTGTGAAAGTACGTTGAAGAATAGAGCGATGTCTGAAATGCGCCTTTCGCTCTTAGTAAAAGACACACGATATGTTTGCGTGATCAAATCGCAGTTTGTTTTAAGCGAGCTACTTGCACACCAACATGCATCGACTTTTTAGTCTTACTCGTCCGAATCTAAACAAATGACTTACGCGTCATTGTTTGTATGCGGTATTCACTTTTCCTCTCCATCAAGCCCATTTTGCGTCCAAAATTTTATTTAAGAGTTAGACTGTAATTTAATTTTTTTTACCCCAAAATGTTTTGTACTTTTTTGATTAATGATCAGATATTTCTCCTACAAGGCGGAAAATGCTTACTAACCGACCGAGAATGTCCTTCTGTTGAAATTAACACTTGTACTGTAAGGCTAACCGTAAAACCTCGATTGTGACTACGAAAAGGTCACATTCACTTTCTCGCTAAAGGACGTTTTGCAGGTCATTTTTATATGGGCCGAGGGTTATGTGCAGAAGGGAGTTTGAATAAGGTTCCCTGTGTAAAATGAGCAAATAGGAAATAACGCGTAAAAAGGCGTTTGATCAAAAGGTCAATCTGGCCTCTCTGATAACTTTCTGTGTTACCTCTATAGACCGTTGGGCAGCTCTTTGGCCCTTCATCGGAATCGTTGTTGAGGTGACCGTCATTGTTGCCGCCATTCTACTATACGAACGCCACCAAATCCGCAAGAAACCCGCCGCCGCGCCCGCCTCTGAAAACACCGCAAACGCCAACGCCAGCTCACCCAATGGCAACGCTGCTGACAAGTTAGTTTTGCTCCCTTAAGGGACATACATATCTGTAGACATGGAAGAATCTTTTTGCAACCCCCTTTGTTTGTATTTTTTTATCTGTATAGCTGGTTTCCTTATTGCCGTGCCTAAATTGTCCAGAGGTCGTCCACTTTCATTATGTGTATCACAACCGCAAAACTATTATTTTCTCTCACCTCCAGTTAACGATTGTCAGGAGTTGTTGCTATCGTGGCACATTTTCAAATGAGGCGAATATCCAGTCAGTAATTAGTCCCTCTTTTTTGGTCGTCCTTCGTTGTGCAGTTCCAGTTTGGCACCTAACTACGTGCTTATCTCATGATAGGTTATTTGTCTTACCAAAATAATTTTTCATACATCTAGTGTCTTTTTTGGTTTCTGTTGTTTTGATTTAATTTTATGGTTGACTGCCTCGTTTAATGTACTTTTGTCAAGTCACAATGTCCTCACCTTATGTCACACTTGTGGCGTTTTTATGGAAATTTGGTGCATACGTACCGCTGCTTCGATGCTATTTACACTTTCTTGGTTAAGTCGAGCCCATAAAGATACCTAAAAGTGCATCTCTGCCGCTGCTGCCTGCTACAGGGTCTTTCCTTGATTTTGCGAAATACATTACAATTTAACAAGATGTCTATTTGGTTCTAAACCTGCATTCCTGGTTGGGGTACCGTTGTTGGGACTAGTGTTGGTTCACGCCCGTTAATTCGATCGCTCCAATCTTCGACACACTGATTCTTCTCATACCGTATTAACACAGATGTTTTCTGGGATTATCGTGACATGTATTAACATCCACCTAGGTCTCGATGTCCCATTTATTACTTACATTGTTTTCCACGTGTAAGCTACAAATGCACACGCGCAAACGCCGCACGACACAACGACAACAGGCTGGTTGGACTGTAATAAACGGTTGTGTTCACGTCCTTCACGTCGAAGTCCAAGTCGAGCATAGGGGATTTCTGTCCGCAAGTAGACATAGAGAAGCCATTAGCTGCTGGGAAAAGCATGATGGGGACAGGAGCCCGCTTTTCGAAATGTCCTGCGAGTGTAACGCATGTCGGCTATTGAGTCGATCAAGAATCTCATACCCGTTGACAAATCGCACAAAAATAGGTGGCGATTTGGATGCCCATTGGCAGTCGATGTCACTACCACCGGTCGTTCTCGTTTCCCGACAGATTGTGGGCATTTAAATCCATGTACTTATACAGGGTCCGCTCCACATGCCAAGGCCCACAACACCGCTATCTAATTTCTGTGTTTACCAACTCAAGGGTGCGAGCAGTGAGTTTAAGTTCATGACGTGGGTGCACGTCTCCTCGGTTCCTGCTATTAACAGCTTCACGACCGGAATGTTGCCTTAGCGAATGTCAGCGCAAATTCAAGTGCACTTTTAGAGGTCATTATTTGTTTCGATTTAAAAACGTTGCCTCTTTTATTCGTGAGATTTGGCAATAGTTTGAGTGGAATTTTTAGCCTTCGATAATTTCCTTTTTCAGGAACCTTAAGCCCGACGAAGTTCGGCTTCGCAATTCAAGAGCGTAAAGTTCTAGCGTTGATTTATTTCGTTGAAGCCTTATAGCAATCGTCTGTTACCAATCAATCAATTTCCCCTCTCCTCCTCCGGCAAGACTTTTCAATTGCCTTGTTAATTTGTTGAACTTTTTGTTGCTCATAGCATCCCCAACGCACATCCATTCTGTAGTTCATTCATTTTCTATAATTAAAGATTATTTGTAAGGAGTCTTCTCTTATGTACATCTGGCTATGCACTTTGGATTGCGACAGTTTCGCTCCAGTGTTGGGCACATCCGCTGAACAAGTGTCTCATTTCTGTGCTTAATCCCAGAAAGAAAGCTACCAAACTTGGTTTTGTCGGCGACATAAATGCATAACTTGTATCAGCCGTGGACATCAAGTTTGCTCAGTAAATCTGAACACGAGTCTCCTGTATCAGCCCATAAATAACGACGCGTAAGCAGCATCAGTATAAGCCAGTGATTGACATGTACACGACGTCGGGATGGAGCACACTGAGGCGATGATGACCGTTTCCAAGATCAACCAGTTTCATGAATCTGACTACTTAATTCACCATGTTGCCTATGATTTTAGGGCAAGTTTCACTTCTCAGATTACTATAATCGGGGCTAAGTGAAGCCATTGCGTTGTGCGTTTGTGTGGGGTTTTTTTGACCAAACTCAAGTTGGTAGGTTCGCAAACCACATCGTAATTGCCACCGACCAATCTCATCTATTGCTTCTCGACAACGAGGTACTTCTGGAATTTACTAAAGTTCCGCTTTCTCCTACACTGTAAATCTACATTATTTGCACTCTAAAAGAAAATAGACATCAATGCGTACATTAGAAGTTCAATGATGATGGTGCCCCAATCTTGTGCCAATTGACCCATTTAAATACTATGCAGCTATTATTTATCCTAGCATTTCTTCTTCAAAAACATCACTAATTATATGATCACACTTGTAACCTAACCCAAAATGTTCCGTCTCTAAT